ATGACAGATTCAAGAAGGCGACCAGACCAATTATAATTATTTCTTCTCTTTTATTTCGTTCTTATTACTTTAAATTAAATTATAAATATAAATTCGTGTATGTAAGTATATGATATTACCCGTGATTTGTATATAACATAGAATTGAAATATAAGGACGACGAGGGGCAGACTAAAAATTTGTAAATGCAAAAATGTCATAAAAATTTTTTTCACTTAAAGATTTCACTGTAATTTTAACAATTTCAAAAACACTTAAGGAATTTTTCATATTTTTTGTAATGAAAGAAATAAACAAAAGAAACGGTGCAAAGACCTACACCATTCGAAAAACAAAAACAAATATATAATTTGAATTAAGACTAAATTCAAGTCACAATCCTTTCTTTGCCTTCCCTCTCTCTGTCTCTCCCTCTCTGAATAAATATGAAAATTTTCCCACTTTATACAATATGAAGTAAAAATGTGTGTTATCAGCTACACACTTTTACTGTTTTTTATTATTATTATTTCTTATTCTCATAGCGACCATACTGTTGCTAATAATACGGAGTGAAAATAAATAGGTTAATGAACTTTAAATAAACGCAATAACAGAAATTTCCACATTTTTTAAGGATAATTTTTTGGAAATATAAAATGTGTTCCTTCTCTTTATATACCGTAATATTTGTTTTTTTTTTTGGCGAAAAAAGCATTTTTGAATTTCATTTTACTCTAATTGCATAAACAAATAACACACAATGTATATGTACATATACGGGCACCTAAATGCGCATAGCATATAGTTTACATAAATGAAAATGTTAGTAACTTTAACTTATTTAAAAATTGGATTTGCGGTTTTCTCATTTTGCTCACATTTATAAAATGAAAATTTGTTGCATTTCACTTTTTTATTATTTTTTGCTTTCTATTTTTTTTTATTGTTTTTAATGTGTGATACAACAAAATGTCCTGCAACGAAAAATGTTTTTGTTTTTGTTAATTTCATACGGTTTTTTATCATTGCTATTTTATTTTTATCCTTAATTTACATTTTCGCTCATTGCAAACCATTAAAATAAATTTTGCATTGTACATTCAATTTGAAAATTTGCTTTAAGCTGTTTCGCAAAAATATTTAATTAAAAACAAAAAAAAAAAAGGAATGAACGACCAAACGAACGAATAATAAAAAAAAAAAAATAAATAACAAAGTGTATTTTTGGGACAAAAAATTTTCATCATTAAAACTAAATCAATTTCATATTTAAGGGCTTAAGGGAATTAGAAAATTTTGTTAATAAAAATAAAGAAAAAAAAAAAAATATGGGAGCGAACAATATTTTTTTTTATTTTATATAAAATTTTTCCCGAATGGTTAAAAATTTCTCGGTTTTTAATTGATTAATTATCAACTTATTCCTTGAAATGGAATAAATGTTTGGACGCTTGGAAAATCCACCCTTATTGGAGCTCTGAAGATTTACTTATTAAGTTTATCTTGCATAGTTTAGAGCTATTCCGTCATCCGAACTATCAAATTATGTAGGTATGTTAATTGTGTCATTGTTTATATTGGATTATTCCTCAAATATCTTATATTCAATGGAACAATTCTGTTTTTTAACGTCCCTCAAAGTTACTAATAGCTGATCGGAAAATGTTTCGACATCGGAATTTTTTTTATATTTTGGGTTCGACTCCGGGCTCATATCCCTTATGACTCCGACTCTAATTCAAATTTTCTTATTTTTTCATTATAGCATTTTTTTAATTTTTTAAATGAAGGGCTTTCAAAAATTTCAGTCGAATAATTATTTCCCAAACAGTTTGTACCTTAATACATGTCGATCTGCCTTTTTAAATAAATTCTGAAACATGGCAGGGAAAAATGAAAATTAAGTGCTCAACCATAAATGGAAAACAAATGGAAAATTTGTGAAAAGTGTAAATATTTTAAATGGTAATTGTAATTGTATGTTCTTTCTTTCTTTCTGGTAACTGGTTACGTTTTTTGATGTCAGTGTACAGCTGTAGAGTAAAAAAAAAAAAAAAAACACGAAATAGCAACACAATCTGACAGCAACTACAACAAAATTATTGTATTTGTCTTTCAATGATATTTTAAAATTTTTATTTAAAAATAAAATTTCGTTTTGAATGATTGTGTCTTGTATTTTGTTTGAAAAAAAATTTTTTTTTTTTTGATTATTGTTTTTCTGTTGTCTGGTGCAAAATGTTCTGTTAATTTGTGGGGGCTTTAATTTTGAACTTTTTTGTTTTTGTTTCTCTGTTTTTGCTAAATTAATTTTTAAGGCAATTTGAATATATTCTTATATCTTGTATATTTGACCCTATTTTTAGTGTCAGTATTGTCGAAATGAGGATATTTTATAAATTTTATAAAATGACGTACATAAAGTAATGGTTTGGTGGCTTTGTGATTTGTGGTCGTACAATATGTTATAATAAAATTAACACTTAATTGTACAGGAAATTCACTTGAAAAGTTAATACATGTTGGATAACATGCTGTAATTATTTCATGCTTAAAATATGAGAAATTTTTCATTAATTCGCCTTTATTAGTGTTTTATTTTAAACGAATTAGTGAGGTATTGTTAATGCGTTTTTTAAGGATATGATAATTAAACAAAAAAAGAGAATTCTTAGTGACTCCGAAAATTCTATTGTGCCTTTAATTCTGTAAGTCCTCCTCAGTAACTTCTCTTACTCTAACCCATATTGGGCAATTCTTAAAGCAGTTAGTCAATTTCTTAACACAACCATTTCCTTAATCCGATCTACATATTTAGTAATCTTATTTTGATTGGAATAAGTTCATCATAATTTAAAATTGTTTGCAGAACATAAGCATTTTAATAACGCAATAATAAAAATAATAAAAAAATATAGTTTTCCATTTTCATTTTTCATTAATTTGATTCGCATTGTTGACCTGGTTTTTTATTACAATGTTTTGCATAAATTTTTTTTTTTTTTTTATAAAATAAAAATATTTAATAAAAATGTTATTGTTGCACATTTTTTTGTGTTGCAGCATAAAATTTTAATTTTCATTATTTTGTAACATTTACAAAAGTTTATAAATTTGATAAGGAAAATGATAAGGATATTATAATAGATTTTCTCTTCCTTTTAACGAAATAAAAAGATAAAATCAGAAAAATTAAAAAAAATTAAAAAAAAAAAACAAATTCTTTTTTTTTCATTTCGTCGAACTTTGCTACTATATTTTGCATTTAACTGATGAAAATCCAATATTTGTGTAAATTCAAAAGAAAATCATCCAACAGAATTACAAAGAATTAAAAAAAGAAAAAAAGAGAATTGATTTCCAGTGAGTATTTGCATATAGAAGATTTAATAAGAGAACGAACGAACTTGTAGAAAAAAAGCAAAAAAAAGTTTAAATAAAAAAAACTCAATAATCAAATCGGAAAGAGGATAAAAGACGAGAGAGAACGAGAATTATAAATGAGTAAGATGAGAGCTTTATTATTATTGTAACAGGAAGCGGAAAACACAAAAGAATTTTCCCCTGTATATGTTCGATTGTTTCAAAAATTAACATAAAAACTTAAGTCTTTGAATTTCTTCTCCCTTCTTCAATACAAATTCTCTTATACTATTAATATATATTTTACTTGACTATTTGTAAATGTCCATAACTACTCTTGTACTATATTGTAACGTGATCTCTATATCTCTATATAATTTTAGATAGTTGCATACAACAGACAATTTGAAAAAAATTGAGGAAGGAATTGAATTGCACACAAGAAAACATTACCTGAAGATTTTTTTTTTTTTTGATAAAATCTCAATTTTTCTACTTACTTGTTTTTTTCTTTCCTTGTTGTTTTTCCGATACCCATTGAATTTAAATTGGTTATTTAACACGTTCTTTCTCTTCTATATCGTATGTATATTCTATATAATGGTGATGATATTTTCTAGGTTTCTCACATTTTCAATGTGTTACAATTTTTTGTATCATCATAGTGTTATAGTGAAACTAAAATATTTTCGATGACTGAAGATAGAAAGGGAAACATATAGATAGTGAAAAATTTGAAATTTTAGGAAGGTATCAAAATATTGATTTCCCAAACGTGTTTGTTGAGAATTCGAGCATAAATTTTTTTTTCATTTTTTGGAATGAGAAAATCCATGGTGCGTATAAATTACGGTACAGTTGTAATTGTACCAAATTTATAATTTTAACATTGCTGCTAAACGTTGAATTCTGGTCTGATTTAGGTCAAATTATTTCAACTAACATATTTAATATGAATATGTCCCAAACAGTGATTTCAGTAACTGTCTCACTTAATGTTAGAGGTTATTTTTAAAAAAACCTCATAATCTATTCGGGATACAGTGCTGATAGTTAAAATTGTGTAAGAATAATTGAAATGTCATACTGTTTCCAAAACCATTTTCCAAAATTTGAGAACTTGGAATTGATAATTGGTTTACCAAAATATTTTAACTTCTATGTATCTATATTCTTGAAATTAATGAGAATCACATATTTTGCTAAATTGTTTAGGCATGTTGAAGACTGTAACGCAATTTTCTAATTATTTAATTTTGAAACTTCCTTTGATATTTTTATATAGAGAACCATAATTGTAGTGTGACTCTGAGTCAATTATTAATTTTTTACCACAATATAGCCATGAATTTTTCATCTTCTTCATTTCACTCGATAATTTTTTAGAATTTTTCTTTGTCTTGTTCTTATTTTACTTTTAATATGCACATATACAATATATATAATTTTTATCCTTTTTTGTATTCTTTGCAGGACATTTTCAACAACTCATGAGAAATTTTTCCATACATTGTGAACTTTTTTTACATTTCCTTCTTTTGGATCTCCTAATACAAAGTTCAAAAAGGAGTTCAAATGATTATGAAATATAACAAAATCTTAATAATAATAATAATAAAATAAAGTAATAATAATACAACACTAATGTAAAATTATATTGTTATATTAATAAATATATATACATACAAGTATACACAATGAAAACATCTAGATTACAAGCTGCATTTGCTAGAAAACGCGAAGCAGAAAATATTCGTTTTGAACGTACACAAGAGACAAATCGTTATTTTGATCATTGGGGCAAAGTAACATCACGTTTTCAAACATGGACAACACCTGAATATTATGAAAATGCTGAAAAATCATTAAAAAAACAAAAAGAAGAACGTATGAAAGAGGAAAAATTAAATGAGAGAAGAGAAAAATTACAAAAACTTTTAGAAATGGAAAATCAACAATATGAGAATGAATTACAAGCGATAATGTTAAGAAAACAATCACCATCAGTTTTATTAAGTGGTCGACGTTCTAAATATGATTCAATTGATACAAATATATTAGAAAAAATAAAAGAGAATCGAGCAGAAGAAATGAGACGTTTAGAATTAGAAGCAAAATTATATAAAAAATGGCGTAATCCAATGAGCGGTGTAACATTATCAACAACACCATTAGCAATTATTGGTACAAATGAACATTTAAAAGAGAAATCCTTATTTGAATCAAAAAGTGATAATGAAGTTATGGCAAAATTAAATTGGTTAGATAAACAGGTAAATTTCTTATTTATGGTTCTTTGTTTTGTTTTTCTTAAATTTGTCAATAATAAATTTTGTAGGAATGTTTAGGAAAGAAATTTGTCATATGTATTCGATTCCCTCATGTTCTCATATATATTTTGCAAATAAATCCGTAATCTCGTATAAGTTCAGTATCCGTGAAATTCATTAGTAAGCTAATCAGAATAATACCCGTATTATATGTTGAACTAAAAAAGTGATAGATGTCACAAATCCATGTGTCGATTTGTGACATTTATCACTGAGATGTTGGCAAATTCAATGGATTCCAGCTGTCTCGAATACATTTTCGGTTGATCTGTTTAAATTCGCAGCTGGATCCGACATGTAAAACATGTTTTCTTTTATTTTAATATATGTACGTATTTAACTTTATTTTTATGTTAACTTAAAGGTACTTTTCTTCTGTTGTCGAAATTCAAAGACAATTACAGGTATCTAACCTATAAAATTCAAAAGACATCTATTGCAAAAAAATATAAACAGAATTTTGTAAATGCTGTCAGTGTAACTACGGTAATGCTTTGGGATGTGACGATTTTGAGTCTTGTATAATACGGGTGTAAAACAAATTATCTTCCGGTGCAATCAGGCAGACCGAGAATTAAAGAACTTTTCACACTCTTGGAGGCATGTTTGACATTGTCAAAATTTATTTTTAGTTAACAGAACTCTCTTACCAATCACTTCTACATTACAAATAAATTGGAATAAAATTTATCACTAGTCTCTCAATAGTATATAACATGGTTGAGCCTTAAATTATGCAAAATTTGATTAACATTATTCTGCCAATAAAAAAATTAATTTTAATTTTTTCAAATTTTTGATGTGAAAGTCTCGCCGCCACCATGTTTGAATATTTGAAATTTGTTCACTGTATAAATTTTCTCTTTTGTTTTCTCATTTTAATTTTTGTTTAATCTTCGTTAAATAAAAGAGTTTCTCTTTAATTTTCTTAATATTTTTTTTTTGTTCTTTACTTTTTATAAAAATTGAATGGCACGTTTCATGGTCTCTCGCAAATATACATACATATATGATTTTCAACAAGAATTTTAAAGCTCCATTTCGCGAAAATGTAAATTGTAGTTTTCGTTTTCTTTCAAGTTTTTTGGTTGAAAGGTTTCAATTTATCAACGTGAAAGTAGGTCAGTAATTAAACAAAGTGACTAAAGAAAATTAAAGTTGCTGCTTTCTTTTTGCTTGGTTCTTAGCCTCTTATGTAAATGAAAAACAAAAAAAAAAGAAGAATAACAAAATAAAATGTGTGGTTCTTAGTTGTTGAATAGAAAATCTTTGGTTGTTGAATTAAAAAATTTAATTTTTAAAGTTAATTTCTCTCTTTTTGATGAAAAATATTGTTAACTTCATGTGCATTCAATGCACGAACAAAATGTAGAATGTTTAAGTAATAGTTTTGTCAATTTGGCGTATCCTTTACATTAAATTCATGTTTCATTTGTGTGATTAAATTCTTAGCTATATATTAAACCGGATAATAACGGTAAACTAATCTGAGAAAAGTCGAAAATTTTAACAATTTTTGCTATTGACTATTTGAACTATTGATTGACTATTTAATTTTCTACTTACAATTTGTTTTAATACGTCAAATTGTCAATGAACTTTAGAATTAACAAAATTTATTTTTATATTTAATTAAAACAGTTCTGAATTTTAGAAATTTTAAACCGCAAAAGGTCTATAAATTTAAATTTTCTTTATTTTTTTGAATTTTTAAATATTTTAAATTAAAAATATTAAATTTTTTATTAAAATTCCACGAATATCTTTATTCATATTAAATATTTATGTGAAATCCAACAATTTCTCGATTTAGTTGTGCTCTTTAAATTTTCAATTTTTCATTTACTTTCTATTTTTCAATTATTTTAGTATTAAATATTTGATAACTATTTAAAAGCAAATATTTAAATACAAATTAATGCTTTCTGTGTAGAACGTTATCACAATTACCACTTAAAATTTCCTATATTTGTTTTTCACACTTTACTTTTATACTCCGTATTATACATGGAGTCTAAGTATATTTGAGTGGTATTATAACATTCTCTCTTTGTTTGTAATTATATTGTAAATTAAAAGTTATTTATTACTGCTATGCTTAATTGAATTTCTGTTAATAACGTAAGAGCAGAAATTCATAGCTTATAAAATTTCCGTATTTATTTGAGAAAGTTATAGTAAGTTGCTTATTGAATTCAGTTTAATTCTCATTAATTTTGTGCTCTCTTATTTTGTTAATTACAGTTGCCTTATTTTTTTTTAATCTTATGTGAATGATTCAAAACGGCAGAATTGTTAAATTTAAATGCATCATATGAAATTTATGAAAGTACGGCAAACTTGTGTAGCAAAATTTTTATCGTGCAGTGTGAATTGACAAACATTATTGTACTATGCCTGAAAATTTTTGCCACTCATCATTTGATTTGAGCTATCCAAAATAATTTAAGCTGAAAAAATTTTTCATTTAAAAATATAATTAAAGGATAAGTTTATTGCAACTGAGTCAGTCCTACTTCGAATAGATTTCAAAAGTATGAGTTGACTACAACAAGCAAATATTGCAGTGATTAGTAGAATTTTACATCATTCTCTTTAAAAATTGGGATTGTAAAATGTCCAAGGCTATAAAAATTGCCTATGGAAATATTTCTAACTTTTCCGACACTTGCATGTATTTGAGATATCCAGACGAATAGTTTCTAAGTAAAGAGAAATGAAAATGGATTTTTGATGCATTTTTTTCTGAAAATGAAATTCAATCGATGGCAATTGTTTAGAATAGTGCAAAAATAATAAATAAAAAACGTAATAATAAAAATAAAATTTCAAACTGTTTAAAATCTTTTCAAGGAAATTTTATTTAGTTTTTTTTTTTTTTTTTTTTATTAGAGAAGGGAAAGAACAAACTGCGATAATAAACGAAGGTAAAGAAAAAAAATGTAAAGAGAAAAATAAATATTTTCTTAATCGGCAGTCGACGTTCTCTTTTTATTTTTTTTCTTGTCGTTTTTTTGTTCTCTTTAAACTTCTTTTATTTTTTTTTTCTGTTGTTGCTATGTAAACTGTCAACATCATTGCTAAAGTGTCGTCGTCTTGAACTTAAAAGTATTAAATTTGCACTATAAAGTAAGGATTCATATTACTTATATAAAATTTTTATATCTATATACATATTATGTACATATAAAAGTGTTATGTACATTTTTATATAACGACAGTCATGTTGCTAATTTTTTAAATACAGAAAACTGTGAATTAAATAAACATTGGCATATAAAACAAAAGAGCATAGAAAATTTTACAAATTGTATTACTGTTCATGACGGGGCGCTGCAACATTATCCATTATAGATAGTAGATAGCTAGTAGCATATAAATTTATGTAGCAAAATGTATACTATACAAGTAGGAGTATGTAGTTGTGGTTAAATACATTATAGTTAAATGCAGTATAGTTTAGTTGCTGTAGAATGACGATATTCTTCGATATGCATGCATAGACATGAACAGAATTGTGTAGTTTTTAACTGATTTGTTAGAAATGTGACCATGATTTTTTTTTAAATAAAAAAAATTCAATTTAAAAAAGGAAATTTATATTGGAAACTTAAATATTTTTTGTGTTTATAATTAAATTGTGAAATATAAGAACAAGAAGTTTTTAAATTTGTTAATTTAATTATCAAGTTATCTTGTTTATTGGTTTAATAACTGCATGAATAATGTACAAGGAAATTTAGTGTTTCTAAAAATTTTGATATTTTAAAATTTTTAATATTATGTATTCATATGTACATATGTCTATGTATGTGTGCTGCAATAAATAATAATGTCAAGTTCGGATTCAGCTTCAAAAATTTTTCGATTTGCTTGGGTATTGCGGAATGAGATACTTCCATTTCTGTAGTAACTTCAATGATCAGTTCATCGTGATCTGGGTGGAAGATTGTGAAATATTATGTTGTTATAAAATAAAATTGGAGAAATATTTTAACAGCTCTTTAAAAAATTTTTTTCACATGTGTAAAATAAAAAGTTTTAGAATTTATAACCTTAAAAAATTAATCATTTCCTATGTATGTAAGTAATTAATGAATTTCTTTATACTGCTTATCATTTTAGATTGAAAATCAAATGAGACGTGAAGAGGAGGAAAAAGAAACGCAAAAACGTATACTTAAGTTGCAAGAGGAGGCAAGAAAACGTGAAGAAATACAACGTGAACGACAATTAATACGCGAATCAGAAATAAAAGAATTACGAGCTTTACAGGAAAATCATGTTAAGGCATTAAAACAACGAGAACAGGAAACTACTCAATTGCAGCAAGATGAAGAACATTATCGTCATATATTGGATACAATTGAAAATGAAATAACTATTTTGAAATTAAATTACGAAGATTTTTCCAAACAGCTAAATGAAGTAAATTTACCACATAACTTAAATAAAATAAAAATTTTATTTCGGCAATTATCTGAAGAATTTAATGAACGTTTTCAAAAAGATATTGAATGTTTAAAAAGAATTAAAATTTTATATTCATATTCTGAAAATTCTACTTTTGATGCTACTGTTGATTTAGAATTTGATAAAAATAAGAACAATATCAGTTTAAATAATAATAATAGTAGTGATCAGATACGATTAATAACAATACAACAGATAATTGAAAAATTCGATAAACAATATCAAAATGAAATTTTAAATCAATCAGACATTTCGAATATGTATGAATCTGAAGCAAAAAATAATTTTAAAAAATGGAAAGAATATTGGTATAATGAGGAAACTAATAGAAAAACAAAAATTATTGATTTATTAGAACGTGATCAAATTTATTATGATTTGAAATTATCGGAAAATTTAAAACAACAAAAAATTGTTCTTGAAATACGTGAAACACATTTGGCAGCTATTGAAAATTCAAATGATAAATTGAAAATGTTAATTAATAGCAATAATACAGCCGGATCTGTAACAGAGAAAACAACAGAATTAGAAAAATCATTAGAAGCAATAAATCTTAATCAAAAAAATCCTAATAATGATATAAATAATCGTACTGGTTCAAATATATTTTGGAATCAAACACCAAGAAATGATCACACTAGCACTGATCCAAAATTAATGAATGGCAATAGGAATGTATCACGTTGCAGTAGTCGAATAAGTAATATATATGATTTAAATAGTTATCGTGAAGAGAGTGCCAATTCATATAAAAATACAAAATCAAGAATATTTAGTTGGATTGATGATGATAATGCTGATGACAATAATAACGCTAATAATAGTAATTATAATAATGGTTCTAATAATAAGAATATATCAGGTATTGGTAAATCACAATTAAATGGACGTAATAATTTTAATCGAAGAAAATTTACATCAAATACTATTGATTCATCTATACCAATAACTGATAATGCTGTATTAAGTACAAGAGAAGATTTAATTAAGAATTTTAGACAAAGAAATTCATCTCATTTCAATACAAATGATGATAATCTATTAAGTAGGTCAATTCAAGCTAATGGCAATTCTTCTAATGTTAATAATAAAAATATTGAAGAAAATATTAAAAAATTTCAATATAATCGTGAATACGATCATATAAATAATAATTTTAATAATAATGATTGCAATGATAATCTTGATAAAAGAACAACAGCAACAATTCCTATTATTGATGAGGAAAATAAAATGAAATTTTCAGAAAATAATAAAATTTTAGAATCAAGTTGTCGGAAAATTGAAAACAATTCTAGAATAAATAATGAGAATAATAAAACTAATTTAAATAATAATAATGGCAACGATAATAATAACAATAATAAAAATGATAATAGTTTTCACAATGATAATTTCAATAATAGTGGTAGTTCTGGTCCGAAATTTGGAAAGAAAAAGGTAGCATGGACTTAAATGAAATTTTATACTTTAGTACTATAGTAAAATAGACAAAGAGAAAAAAAAACAGATTGATGTTGGTGCACAATTTTAATGCTGCTATTATTGCATTGTTCTGGATTATTGTGACTCGTTTCTCTTTTTCCAATTTTTTACTTGATTTTGTCTTTTATTGCATTTTATATTCTCAAATTATTATAAATAAGTTTTCGTTTCAATATAGTTTTTTTTTTTAATTTTGCATTTTTAGAATTTTTTATTCTTTTGCTTCTGTTTACTAAAAGTTTTAATAGTCTTTGAACGTTCCTGTATTCTGATTCATGAGAAATTTTCAATAAAAATAAAAAAAAAAAACCAAAATAAAAAAATTATTTAATTTCTTATATTCATTCATGTTTTTTTTTAAAGTAAAGAACGGAAAATAACAGAAAAGTTGCCCTTTTTTTTATTGCAGGATAATGAAAGAAAAAATATATTTAGCGGAATAAAGGCAAAAACTAAAAATAAAAAACAAAATAATGTCCTTTTTGTTTTCATTTTCATGTTTATTATTTTATTTTTTATACTTGTGGCATTTTTCTTTTCTCCTTATTCATTATTATTCCATTTGAGAAATTTCAGAAAAAATTAAACTGAATTTAATTTTAATTTATTTAATTTTTTTTTCATCGAAGCTTCTTAAGTATGTACGTAAAATTGGCTAAGAAAAATGAAATAGCGCATTTCTTCATTTATTTATGCAGATTTTTATTAGTCAGACATTGAGAGACATGAAATATTTTAATAATTACATTTCATTTTTTGTAATCACCTTATGTACTTATATAAAATATTGATAGTTGCACTCTTTCTCGTTGTTGGTCATAACATTGAATAAAAGAAGGATTCAAAATATTATTCTTTGGTTTTCAATATAATTTAAAATTTGTTTTGTTAAATTATAATTTAAAATTTGTTTCAACAAAATCATTATTGTAAGATTTTAAAAAATTATTAGTAGGCTCCTTTTGTAAAATAACCCTGAATTTTTATTTAATTGTAATTCTTTAAACTTACAGTTGAATTTTGACAAATTCAGTAAATTCCTTTTTCAGTTTGTTCAAAGATTTCTTTGCGAATTTCGCAAATACCAACCTAACATGGTCTTTGACCTGCATAACTGATTCCACAAGTACACCATAAAGTTTAATTGTTTAGTTGTCTGAAAGCCTTTTATATCTTAAAGTTTTCTAATAAAATGCCAACATCCTTATTAATAATTTAATTTCCTCAAACTTTTGCATAAATTTTTAAGTTTTTCAAACTGAATATTAAATTTTATTAGGCTATTTTCAAATTGAACAACATATGCACAATGGTTTTTAGTTTCTCCACTCTTTTGTTACTTTCGAAAATTTTAGTTTCTCTACTCTTTTGTAACTTTAAACAAATTAAATTGCATTTGATTTCAATTCCTACAAAATATTTTTAAAATTATTTTCGAATTGCCATTAACTTGTTTTCAATCTATAATTATGTTTAAACGGACTTTCTAAAATTAAAATCTTATTTTATTGACCTCCATCCAATAATAAACCGGCAGAGCAAAATTTAACAGATTAAATTGGAAAAAAAAAACAAGAAAAATGCAAATTTCCCTTCATTTGTAAAATAAAATTGTTTTTGTTGTTCTGTGCGATAATAGAATTTTCTATTGTTTGTACCAGTATGAGAATCTCAGTCACTGTCATATATTGGGAAATTAAAAAATTAATCTTAACAGAATTTTGTGATGATGACATTGTCTGATCCAGATAAAAATTTAACCTAATATCCTTTTCTCAGTATAGCAAATAAGAAAACGATAAAAAAAAATAAAAAGGATGCTGAAAACATTTTCCATAACAGAAATGTGAAGAAATTTCTATGAAAATTAAATGGCTTTGAAATATGTTCAAAAAAATAATAACTTGTGAGTATGTTTGTGACTGTATTAAAATTAAATTTTGGACTCAATGTTGTACAAAAATTTTGTGAACATCTACATATTGAATTATTAGGCTTCAATTCATTTCTACAAATTCATTTCTACAATTCAATTCTTCAATTTCATTGCTACAATTCCATAATAAATATTTCATAGTAGTACTGAGAATATCCAATTAATTTTCTTATTAAATATTTCAAATTTATTTAACAAAGAGCATGTTTAAAATAATGAGTGCAAAATATTCAAATACTCAATATTGTTTTTTTTAACGTAGAACTGAATTTCAAATTTCTATATATAGTACGCTTAATCTTAGAATTAAATTAATATTTAGAATTACAAAGTTCAATTGCTTTGGAAAATTTTGTGAAACTAAAAATATGTAAAATAAATTTCTAATACCAATATGTTTATTAAGTATAAGTTCTTTAATCGAAACAACCCAAAATATGTAAATATACGTAGGTAAATCCCTAATACCTATCGTATTCTGCTCGGAAAAGCCCATACTATACGTACATATAATTTTGAAATAAAATTTTCCATTTTCAAATATATAAAAAAGAAAATCGTATAATATAGTGTAGAGAATATGAAAATAATATTAAAACGTGTAAAAACCGATTTTATTACTATACTAACAAGCCCCGAGAGGATAATGATTTTACTGTTTATTGAGTACCAGTGCAAGTTTTATTCCTCTTATAATCATAACACAGTAACAAAATGAAGGGAACGTGTGCTTATAAAACAGTTTCTAAAATGAGCTAAAAAAAATATTTTTTTTTTCTTTTATTGAAATTTTCATGTTCAAGATTTGTTATTTTTGAAAATCGTGTAATTTGAATAAAAGTTATAATAGTATTTATATACACACAATTACCCATACACAAAATAATAGTAAATCCTATATAGGATTTTAAAAATTTTGTATAATTTTTATTAATGGCATTAGAAAAGTGAAAGTCTATTATTTTTTTTAATATTAAAAGTTAAATTTTGATTACATATCAAAAAAATTGTAAATGCTGAGCTTTATGATCAAGAAGTCGCAGTTCTGAACTAGTATGAAAAGGGCTTGAAAAGAGATGCTTTCGTTTCGGATGTGGTAAAATGGTAAAAGTTTTTAAGAAACCCAAACAAAACTTTTAGCTCAAACTTATTCACATTAATTTTTAGGTTATTCCTTGTGCACAATTCATAGAAGCTGCTAAAATCATCTTGAAGAGAAACTGTGTCATTTACAGAGCTTATCTTTTTGAAAATTTTCATATCATTAGCATAAATTAACATATTACTCTATGTTTAGATGGAAGCAATATAATTAACAAAAATGATGAAGAGAAATGGTCACAAATGGCTACACAAGGGAGCTAATTGCTAAAGGATACATATCTCTGTATAGTTTCTTCCGGTGAGATATGAATATATTTAGCACAAAAATTCTTTATTCTACTAATTTAAACTCGAGTTTTTAAAACCTAAGTGTAATTCGGCTCAGTTTTTATCAATACTATATTGAATCGAATTTATACCTTTGGCGTGTAATATCCTAGAGCTTGTCATCACCTTACTTTTACCCGTATTTTCTCTGTACCCATATACACAAAAATAATTGAATTTTTATTTTTTAAGGGCTCTTGGTTTTAATTTTTCGAATGTTTTTTATAGTTAAATTTGCAAAAAAAAGGGTATGTTTATGAACTGGTACTTATCTGAAGGCATATAGATATTATTTGTGTAATATAATAAAAACGATATGGATCTTTTGTTTACGTATATTATTATTACTAACTATAATAATATGAAAATGAATTTAAATCCCAACGATAAGAGATTTTTAAACATTAAAATTGGGAAATAATAATAGAGTGAGGTTTTTGAACTTTTTGAAAATTGTAATATTTCGGTAGATTATACAATAATGGTAATAATGTGCATGTTTTTCATTAATTCAATATAGGTACTGATAATTTCCTGCCTTTATTATTGAAAAGAACACAAAAAGTTGAAAAAATTTTCTATTTCGTTTATTTTCTTTTTACATACATATGTTAACTTTGAACATTGTTCTGATTTTAAATTCATAATAAGGGATCAAAAGAAGAAAAAAATATTTTCAATTCAAATTACTTTCTAAAAGTTCGAAATATGTTAAAATTCAACTAGCTTTATGATAATTATTATGTTTAAAATTAATAGAATTCTTATATATTTTACATTACGACTCAGGTATTTAAAATTTAAAAGATGTGTGTGGGTATGAATGGAACAGAAAAATTTTTGCAGAAAATGTACAAAATTTTATAAACCCAAAAGAGGAAAAATTCCCAGGCAGTCCAGGTAAGTTTTTGTCTTACAATAGGCTAGTAAACGTCCCAAACTCTTTTATTAAATTAATTTTTTAATATTGTAAAATTTTAAAATTTTCAAATACATTTATGAATACAATGTTAATTTGCTATATTAATTTGAATACAGTGCCTAAACACATTTTAGCACCAATATTTTTTTGCCACTTTATTCCTTTAATTTATTCTTCTTTTATTATTTTATTATACTCTAAATAAAGCAATTAAGATAATCTTAATTTTTTATTTGTTTATTAAAATTTCCGAAATCTCAAATATAAGGAACCTATGTACGTGTGTTAATGTTAGTAAATCGTGTGACCAACCATTTCCATTAAGAATATTCATCTAGTACAGTTAATGTTGAAAATTATAATTTTAATTTATACGTTTTGTATGTACGCTTACAGTTTTTTTTTTAAGTAAAATAATTATTTTATATTTCAAATTAATTATGGTGAGGATTTTTATTTTTTGCTTAGTGTTTTGTTTCTTTCTGTGTTATAATCATGATAGACTCCCGACGACTGTATGTATGGTAAAAGTAAAGCTGAAAAATTCTTTCCATTTATTTTTGGAATAAATAAAAGGCATTATAACCATGTTTTTTAGAATATTCTAAAGTACTCATATATCCCAATGTACAAGTATACCATAAATTAAAATATTGTGAAATTTTAATTGGAATTTTAATGTTTAACAGAGAAAATAAAAAAAAAATAATCTCAAGAAAATTGTAATAGTCTACAAAATTTTTTTTTATTGTTTTGGTTTTTTGTTTTTGTTAAAGAAAAATATTTGAAGGAGGGTTTTACCAGTGGTTTTTCAACTATTGTTTATTTAAAAAGTGCATTGCATAAAATTAGTATATCTGCAGAAACTGATATACAGAGTGTCTGATATACAAGACAGACATTTAATTTAAAATTATGTTTACACACAGCTCGGACAGGGAAAAATGACGTTTCGTCAAAAACACGA